GAGAAGAGCAAAATAAGAAATTGGCACGCCGAGGTCAGGGTACCCTGGATTTCTTATTTTCAATTTGTGCATTTTTTCTATTTTTTTTTGTCGCGCGGCTCTCCGAGGGGCTCAATTTCTTAAACCAGTGATTTCTTAAGCAGTGCTGTTGCTGTAGAAACAAAGAGACCAACGCAGCAGCAGCACGCCACCGAGAACGTTCTCAGCCCCAGCGAAAAATGCGAAGACACAAACGTGGCCCTAACACCTCGCAGCCACGAAGGCAAGCCACCGGCACCACCAGGGTAGCAAGCACCGCAACCACCAGAGCCCACTACAGACGTTTTGAATCAGTCCACGTTCCCCAACTTCGCTACCATCACCTGGATTGACCAAAGGACACCACCAACCATGCCACCTTCCCTCCCCCTCAACACCTACACGCAGCTCCTATGCCTCCACAGAAGAGCCGGCAGCCGACCCCTTCGTGGCCCAAACCATCTACCCAGGTGGTCTACAGGCAGGGGCCTACGAAACCCGAGCAATACCTTCTCCTCGGTGTTTGCATTAAAACTAAGCCCCTCGGCCCAGCCGCCGAAGCTGCTAGACAGAAATGGGGCCTGACTACCTCCCTTAAAGCATGGCTCATAGAGGTAGACGAAGCACGGCACCACGCAAGGGACAGCGGTGGACCCAACGAGGTAGAAATTCGCCGGGGCGACTCGTTCCTGATTGTCTGGCAGGACAATGAATGGAACTTGGTGGACAGGTTCGAAGTTCCAAGCCAACCTCGACGACAAGCATTCCACCACGCCTATACTATAGAGGTCCCCCCGAGGCGCACGTGTTAACAACCAACACAGCGATACAGGACGGGGACGCGGAAGCAGCACAGAGCAAAGCCCCACCACCACAACCACCGGCCAGCGAGACCTCGGGGGACCAAAGCGAACGAGCTTGGCCAAGCAGGGACGAAGCACCCCCACACGACACCCACCACGACCACACTGAACTTCTCCAGCACGGGGACAAGCCACTTACCCCAAGAGCAACCACACTACTCCGGAGGCACCCGAGCACAGACCACTGCAGCAGCATCACCCTCTCAACCACAGCGACCACACAGCGCGCATGCAGACCCACCACCGCAAACAGTCGCCACCACCTACCACCGGGGATCACTCCCCAAAGCCGGCCACACACGCAACGGAGAACGGCAGCCACCAACAAGCAGCAGCCGCGAACCACAACCAACAATTTCCCAGCAGAGGCCCCCCACATTTACGGGGAACCCAGCACACAGACACAACAGGCCATGCTCGAGACAGCACTCTTGGTGGAAGCAGGCCAAGCACTTTTGGTCGAATGGGCCGGAGGCCGCAACCCTCTCAGCTCGACGGCATCGGGGACCGAACCACACCAACCCAGCCTGAACCTAACCAAGCCTGCACGCGGCAGCAGCGGAACCTCAGCAGGGGTCAACTACCTCCACAGCAGCACACGAGGGGGCACCAGAGGAACCAACAAGCAAGAAGCGCCGCACGGGAGCAGCAGCAGCAAAGCAGCAGACAGAGCAGAGGAGCCCAATGCACTGTGTGTGATGTTCCCCTACTTTGTGTTCTGTTCCTTGGCCCCCTGCTTCCTACGCCCGGGGCCCCGCGCTGGAAGCAGACAGGCATCCCCCAAACTCAACAACAGTAGGGACAAGAAAGTTGCAAGTCCGGGGGCCACATGGCATTGCACGTAGGAACTGATGCTGCAACCTCTCCCCACTGGGGGCACCCAACTTGCAGACATAGCCACCTCTCCAGATAGACACAAGCCTGTAGGGGACAGCTCAATGACAAAGGAACCCAGCATTTTTTCTCCCCTTCCTGTGACTGTTATTGCTCTGGCTCCTTTGTTGCCAGGAGCTGCCTATAACAGGCCACAGAGAGCCATGCATGTAACCCGGCACTGACCGGGAACGGTGGAGTCCCAGCACAGAGAGGGGCTCGGTGCCAGCGAGTTGGCCCAGCGGGGGTTGTTTGCTGGGTAGTTACGGGCCAGGCGAGCCCTTCCACGTTTCACGCCGATTCCGGACACGAACACTGGCGTAGCGCGAAAGCGCAGGGTGTAGGGAACTCGTGTCCCTGCCCCAAACGCCGTGCAAGCAAGCAAACAGTGTGATCGTGTTCGGGTCCTGCTGAACTTAACTAGTCGTTAGATGCCGCTAGCCTCGGAGATTGAAACCACTGGAAGGCAAAGCCGTTGTACCTTACTTAATCTCAGGGTGCGGTTACGCTCATGTATGCGTCTGCTTTGATCATAGTCCTGCCATGTCAGGTCGTCCAGCCATGGTGTTGTGCTTACGTGATGTCCCTGCTACTTTGCTGCTGCTCGCCCTTAGGCTGTTCGCCGAGTGAAGCCTCTTTGCACGAATGCCACTCATGTGAAGCACTCACATTCCCAAAAATTTTAAACAAAGGGCGTTGGCTCGGCCCCGGGCCCTGGCAGTGAGCGGGAACACTCGCCCTCCACCCTTGTGCTGTTCCGAGGCCGGTCTGGGCAGTCCTGAGCTTTGTTCCACCTTGTCAGCTGCACAGCCTCCGTGGAGCATCGGAGAGCTCTGCGCCGCGGCGGGTGCCACGGACTGCACATGCGACATTGTGGAATGCTGGAGCAAGAACCAGGAGATTTGAACTAATGACCGGTCCTTTGCTTGAATCTTGCACGAGGCCATGGCGAGCGATGAAGTGCTGCCAGAGGCGGATTCTTTGGACTGGAGGCGTGCGCGTCTCTGAGGTGACAGCTTCGTAGTGAGAGTTTGCGGAGTGTGCTCAAGTAAGTCAGCAAACCAGCATGGTGCAGCTCGGGACGGAATTTGATGCGCAAACACCGACACAAGTCCAAAATCGACAGCAAGACCAGGCAGCACCTCGGATGGAGTTGCATCATGGATCGGGCATTATCTGTACCAGCTTCGGATTCGATGTGCAAGCGCATGCACTCAAGATTTCAGGACGGCGATTTGCGAGTGTGGGATGAGTTGAGATTCCGGATAGACTCAAACCGACAAGCATGTCCACCTTGTGAAGGCAGTTTCGTGCGCGGCTCATCGAACGTGAGACGTCAGAAGTGCTCCTGGATGGTTCTGATCCCAGCAGTGCAGAGCCTTGCCTCCATATAAACCATGGCAGTACGTCCATGGTTGATGAAAGGGGTTCCGTCCGGAACTGCAGAGACATGTCGGGTTTAGAATCTAGGTTCATATGCAGCTGGCTGGAGTTCATGGCCGGGTGTACTCAGGAGCATCAGGATACCTGGATGCACCGCAGCCCGCTTGTCGAAAAGGGATCCGTGCTCGTGGCCAAGCCTGGCTTCTGGTCGCTGGACTGTCCATGTTTCCATAAGGTGGGATCCTGAGTCACAGCTGCAGACAAGCAAGTAAGTGCTTTTTGTCTTTCTGGGGGCCAGCGCACGGCGGCACAATTATTTTTAGAAATTTTAGAGTTTCCACGTCATGCAAAGCTTTGGGGCGATCGAATGCAAGAACCCATCAAACTGCAGGCGCCCTGAAAGATGTGGAGCCTACTTGGCATGTTGGGACTCCAGCCATGTTCTGTGCTGTGTCACATTCGATAGCATAACAGCATGCTGATGACCGGAGTCCTTTGGGCTTTGCTTTGTGTTTCCCCGGAGAGGCCGTTATCCTCATCACGGAGCATGGAGAAGACTATGACATGGGCTCGCTGGCTGCAACGTCTTTATCGACTAAGGTACTATCATGAAAGCTGAGTTTAAAGCTTCAAGCTGGTGGAATTGCCACATGGGCGTCCGGGATTGCTAACTGCAGCGTTGATAGTCCCCCAAAAGCTCGCCCCAGTCTGTGAAAGACCAACAAAGGCCAGTCCAAGTCGTGAGCCTTGGGTGGTTCACGGCGCGGTTCCTGTCTTTTGTTTTCTTTTGCGCACAGGCTTCGTCCTCAACCGTCCGACCACGCGTGTGGAAACCTTTGGCCGCTTGGAATTCACTGTCTGGTATGGCGGGCCTTGCCAGAGTCTGGACCATGAGGAAAGCTGCTCGGCATGCACGAAGCACTGTGGGGAGATTTCGGGTCCAGATCCTTCTTTGCTCTCTTCGTCGGCGGTCAGCCCCCCCGTTTTCACAAGCGGTCCTTAATGGGGGCAGGTACCGTACCACCCTGCTGTCATGCGTCAACACGAGTCTTCCAACTGTTCTGCTTCCGGGTTGTCGAGCAGTGGGAGGAAAGGCATGTAGCTCGAGCGTCATGCTTCGCCGCGATGTGGCTTTGGAACTTTGCATCCACTGCTTGGCCGTCTTCGAGGTGATCAGTGGAAGTTTTGCCTCCACATGCGTCCAGACATCCCTGGGGCCGAGCCGATAGCTCAGGCAGCGCCAGAGCAGAACACCTTCAGAGTGTAAGAGGGAATCGGGTGCTTTTGTGAGGTGGTGCACCTTTGGTCCTAGACTTGAACAGCTGAGACAGGAAACAAGCGTAGCATCGCGAAAGCTGCAGGCCCATGGTCCGTCTGTTTCAAACTGCAGAAAGCCAACCTAACACACTAATTGGACAGCGATCGACAATAGTCCTTCTCAAGCCAAGAAACTGTACAGGACTCACTGCAGATAATTATTTGGGCAGTGATTTGCAGTTTACATAGATATGCTGATTCTGGCAGGGCATTTACATGAGCGAACCCTGGGCAGCTGCGGGTTACATCCTCGAGTCTGACGGCAAGGTGGCGGGTCGTGGCAGTTTGCTGTTTCCGTCTTGTGTTCGCAGGAAGCACCCGAGAAAGTAGTCACCAGGCACGTCTGTTGTTTGTTTGCCCCCTTTAAACCGACTGCCCGTTCTCAGAACCAATGCTTCATGGAGCCGTGTGCAACCATTAGTCAACACAGCCCGCAAACTAGAACCTGAAAAGTGCCGCAGCGTGGTTAGGCCACCGAGGAGGACTTCATGCTGCCGCTTGTTTGATGTAGCTCCTCAGGGTCACGGATGGGCTGCAGCAAGAAATGTACTTATGGGCCTAGGACTGCTTTTGATCCTAGGTTGGTTGGTCACTGCGGCTGGGGCCCCGGCCAGCTCGAAGCAGAGCTCGCAGAGGCCGCAAGGGCCTAGGGTGAGAAGAGTGCTTCAGTTGCATCACAGATGGACCGGGCAATGCATGAAAATTCTGTTTCACAGATCTTCGCTTTTGGCATAGAGGGCATCCGGCAGAAGCGTTCTACCCAGTCTTCATGACGTGGCAGGGCGACACCTGGTTGCTCGCTGCTGCCGACACAAAGGCATGCAGGGATCTATGGTCTGTAGAGTTCATTTTCTGTCGCGCGGCTTGTCCGGCTGAGGCGTTTTGGATTTTTGGAGCTGGCCAGTTGGATTCGGATGGAGGGCCCATCCCATTGCCCCTTGAAAAAACCATGCAAAGTCAGCAAATTCATTGTTGATGCTGCTGCACCTTAAGAAGCAACCTGTTGTCGAGATATAAGAATCCCACATGGCAATACAACCAGATGGCAGCCGGGCAGGCCTTGTTGAGCTCTCGCACGCAGAAGGCCCTGAGGCGTCTGCCTTGGTGCTTCGTGCGCGATCTTCTGAAAGATGGAGCAGAGATAGTAGAGGGAACCCGTTTGAAGCTCATCTCTACTTGGGTCGAGGGAGCTTTGCAGCCATGGAGCTAGTGACACCAAACCTCGCAAGGTGTCTAGCACCTGCAGCTTCTAGGTCGAAGATATCGATTTCAGAACACCCTTGCTCAAGTTTGACCGCAGTTCCAGCACGGATCGAGGCGAAAGCCTTTCGTCCTTGGGCGAGGACTTCCACTATGGCGGAGGCATGGCAGAAATCAGCGCATTGATTCCTAGAAATTTGGGAGCCGAGACATGAGGCGGGGGTGATGACATGGAACATGTAGGTTTCAGACACTGGCGCAAGCGTTTCTTCGGGCTGGAATCTGGCATCGTGTCGGCTCCGATGCTTTCGGGGGAAGGGGCTTCGAAGGCGTGAATCCGCCAGGCTTTACCGACGATTGGTGCTGCAACAGGAGGTGCAGGAAGGACGCATCATCGAGAGGCGCAGCAGCCTGTTGCCAACAGTGATGTCAACACAGGTGGAAGTAGACTTGTGTGACGTGGCCAGACGCCACATTGAAACATGGTTAAACATCGTTACAGTACGGCCAAAGATCTTTTGCCGAACTTTTGCCTGTCTTCTTGAGGGGAACCTATTTTTGTTGGGCCTTTGCTTTCTCTTTGTTGGACCCTTTTATTTGTTTGTCCCGTGGGGGGGTAAGGAAGGAAGGGAGGGAGGAAGGAAGGAAGACAGGAACGAACGGAGGGAGGAAGGAGGGAAGGACGGACGGAATACACATATAGATATGCATACATGTGCTATTACTATATGTGGTGTTTATGCTGCGTACTTTGTAGTGTAGCATCTTATTTGTTATTTACGATAGTACTTATGTACGTACACACACTCAAATATGTATGATATGTATGTGTATATACGCACTGCACGTATCTTCTACATCTTCTACTTGATGTGCGTAACATTTAGATTATTTGCTGTATAACCTTTATATAAATAAATATATATATATATGTGTGTATATATATATATATGGCGATACTTTCTCTATCTAGCTTATATACCCACCATATATATACTTATAGATATATACACGCAATACACCAAAATATACGTACATACACACACACACACATATACACATACATGTGTTTACTTATTTATATAGAGATAATACAGTACAAAATTATATGCGTTAGAAACCTTCGGCATGAGTATGTAAAGTGTGTGTATATATATATATATACACATAGTCTTTCGCAGTTTGTACATATATGACATCAGTGCATACAGTATGCGTGTACATACAAGACAAGTTTTGTGTATCATATGTGTTTACATTTATGTATTTATGTTTACACTTATGTGCGCTCTATATACTCTGTCTTGAAAAACGATCTTATGTATATATTTATAGACATACATACATGCACATATATATATATGTATATATATATAGTATCACTAGTATACGTATCACTAGTATACATAGTATGCATAGCTCGTGTGTGTGTGTATATATATATATGTGTGTGTGTAACGTAACATTATCGCGTATATATATATATATACACAGAGAGAGAGAGAGGGTATACACATTTAGACATGTAAATTATGTGTATATATATATACATATATATATAGAGAGAGAAAGCATATATGCATTGTTTTTTACCATATAGTAAATATTGCGGCAGATGCGACAGCCTATATAGTAAATATCATGTAACACACGCACGCACACACACACACACATATATATATATGTATGTATATATATATATATGTATGTGTATATATATATACATATATATATATATATGTTCTTCACCTGCTATACATACTGTTCACGAACCGAATACCACACTATATGTACCGTATACGCATTACAAATACCTACATTGTACACATAGGACGTATGCACTGAAGCAATTTGAAGCATCTCCTTAAAGGGGTCGGAAAGTGTTTCGCAAAGAGCGGCTTTCGGAGGGACTCCTGTAAACGGTTCCCTTGTGCTGAATCTCCTAATTACCGCGGCGCAGACTCCCGTATAATACAGTGAACAAGTGTGCTGTCTTGGGAAACCCCGCGACACCGACCCCTCCCCCCCAAAAGAATACTACATATAAAACAAAAACTCCACCGGTCTTCTTCCTAGATAGTCTGGCGAGCGATTCATTGACAAGATGCAGAGACGCATTTTCTGTAGAGGACTGAGCCTCTGACAAACAGGTATGGCGACGAGGCGCTGTTGCGCTTCGTGCAAGACGAGTTAGATGCCGCACCCCAACCGCCTACGACAAGGACTCGACAGCCATTGTGCATCTTGCGCCGTGGGGTGTGTCCGGGTCTGCGTGGGTTTCCAGGGCATTATGCCTGCAGGATTCGCAGTGCAGTTTTCGGTACCGGGGTTCTGCATTGCAGTCTTGCCTCTTGCGATTGGTCATTGATTGGTCCCTTTAGCCGGGCAAGGTAGAAGGAAATCGTGCCAGACAGTGCTCCTACCTGCTCTGATTATTTGGCCTCACCCCGCAGAGATGCCCATGCTTGCATCACTGCTGAATGCGAAGGCGGCGAAAGGAGAAGAGCGACTTTTTCAGAGATTTCCTCGGACGAGGTCCAGACTCTGAGGATGCGAACACGAAAAGCATCGCGAAGCAGGCCAGGCTCATGAGACTCTTGAAATAAGACCATGAAGTTTAAAGAGTTAAAGACTTCTGCCAAATCCGAGCAGACATCCGAACTAGGGGCGATAATTGGTAAAGATCAAGACCGGGGGCAACCACGCGCTGTTGCAGGTGCTGAGCCTCATGGCGTCTGCGCGCGCACCCGAAGTGGCGGAGAACGGCTGTGAAGCTTTGAGGAACCTGGTGGTGGATGAGGAGACAAGGTTCCTCTGCAAGCTATGAGCATCCCTTGTGGAACGCATGCCCAATCCTCGGCAAACCAACCACAAGATCCCTGCCTAGGGGCTTGACCTAGCAGCTGCAAAATAGAAGGTGCTGATCTTTCTGCGAAGGTCGTTGGTGTCCGGGCTTGGAGCGATTGACATGGTCATGGACGTGCCTGGGTCATACCAGCCGAGTGTTGAAGTGTTGCACGGTGCAGACTTTCAGAAGCAGCGAGAACTTGATAGCAAATCTGACATAATTGCAACACCCGGACAGAACCAGCACCAAGACGGCGAAACTTAGAAGACTGTACTCGTCTAGGGTGCGCCCGCTCGGCTGCCCTCAACACGTCACCCGCTGTAGTCGTAAGTGCTGACGCCCGCGGGCACGACCCATCGTGAGCTCCAGGTCTAAGGGCAGGGTCCTCGTGCCTCTCTGGGCTCTCGAGTGCTTGCAACCGAAAGTCTCAGGTAATGCGCAGCCACAGTGATTCCTCTGGTGTTCAAGGCCCACGGGACTTCACAGGTCAGCGTATGGCAAACCCTTCAATGAAGCACATCCTAAAGCATTGGATTAGAGTTGTGTCGGACTACCAGAGCAGGTCATTGTGCCGGTACTTTGACCCACCTCGCAGCGGGATCCGCCGAGCGCGAGGCCTTCTGAAACACTGCAGCCCTCAATCTCGGGGAAAACAGACTCGACAGAGCCTTGGATGCCGGTGTCAGCCATGGCCAGGGGCTCGTGATGCAGCTATCTTGTGTGGCAATTAGGCTTTCAGGTTGGTAGCCCCAGGCCCACGAACGCAATCTCTATCAATAGCCTCAGATCAATCCTCCTCATGAGATGGGAAGCCTTGAAGGCCCCTCCATGCGCTTGTATTACTGTATCGCAGAGTCTATGGCAGGCCATTTTCCATCGACGTGGCCCGGAACTGGTGTCTCCTTTGCAACAGGCAAGATGTGCTGCAGGCATTTCCGGTTGTCGTCTCTCACGGACCAAATCACAGATCCTTGTTCTCGCAGCCTTCAGCCTTCGATGCTGAAGTTTCGAGATTATACGTGCATTGATGCACCATAAACTTCCGACGTTGCTTCTACGCGTGACTCTCCGACCGAGAGAAGGCGTCGAAGCCCCAGATTGCAACTGAGGTGGTCAAAGCCATGCGAAAACACAGAGATGTACCCCTGGTGCAATGGAAGGCTCGCCGTTCTCAGCGCCGTGTATCGCCGACATTGTTGAATTTTCGTTGACCCCAATGCCTACCGCATTACCTTCATCTCCAGATGCCATGTGAGCGATGAACGCAAGTAGGAATCATATACGATGACCCACCATACCCACCCCGAAAGATGTGCAATTTTCTGGCGTTGGAGACTTTAACGCCAATCCGCTATGACCATGCCAGACTCAAACTCAAACACATCTGTATTGCTGAGATGCTGTTGTGTGTGGAACTGCCAACTGCTGCTTCCCGGATAGATGCTCGGTCAAGGAGGGGTTGGAAAAGGTGTCGTTTTGGAGCTTTTGCCCTTTCTAAGTTATCAGGTTGACGCGAGCAGATTCCTGGGTCAGGCTGGTATAATCATAGAACGAAGATACAGGTGTATGTGTGTGTATATATATATGTGTAACTGAAACCATGCAAACAAACAGCTAAGCAAAATTATTCGTGTTGCACATATGCATACAGACATACATAGAGTACAAGCCCAAAAGTTGGAAACCCAATAGCCTCAATCCTTAAGACTTGTGTATAGGGAATCCCAGCAGTAATTGTCCTGAATCCGGTTTCCAACTGTTGGGGGTTTACCATACATTGACCTGCACATAGAGTTGTAGACGCCTGCCAAGCCGACCTGATAAATTGGAGGACACCAAAGCTCTAAGCCGCTTCAACCTCCGCTCACAGGGCTGTGCAGTCTTAGCCAACCTGGCAGCTTCCACAGCGGAGCAGTCAATTGGCTGCAAATTTAAGGGGTTTTGGCGCTACACTTTGTTCGGGATATTTCGGGATGCTCAGTCTTCGGTTGTTCAAACCGTGACGCAGCGGAACATGTGTCTTCAAGTCTGTCCATGACACTGGCCATCCGAGCCGGAGTGGCAATTCATGCTCTCCCACTCGAACTTGGCATCATCAACACACAAATCGACATTTTTGCTGCCATACCGAACGCCTTAACGAGGATTCGTGTGGCTACTGCTGGTGCTGCCAGAGCAGTGGTACAGGGCTCCATGGCCGAACATTGAGATCGTACTACCTGCATACAGGCACTTGAGCGCCACGGCAAGTGGGCCGCATGGCTCGGGCGTAAAACGTGACTAAGTAGCTGATTGCAGCAGGTACGGGCGGGCAGGTTGTGTTGGAGTTGTCGCAGCAGGCAAAATGTTGCCAACCCTTGGGGCACATAATGCACAGCGGTTTGTATGCTTCCGAGGCATGGCGAATCACGAGGACGAGCTGCTGAGCTCATGAAAGCCAGAGGGAGCACAAGCAAAGCAATGAAGGTTGAAGCCAGTGATGCCTTGCGGAGTTTATAAACCCAAGCGGGCAGAGTATGCTAATACTCTGCGTTTCTCGAATTGAAATGTAGTGATGAGCATGGAACGACCTTCGCTCAGTCTTCGGCCTGCCCACTAAGGCGGCTGGTCCAGGACTACTGCATTGGCGCCCTGTACAATCTGGCCAGGGTCAATGCAAACATGTAGCTTGGCATCAGCAAGACGGTCGGTGATGTGTAGGCGTTTGAGAGAGTTGTACGATAACAAGTTGGACTCTGGTACGGAGCGATTTGTGCTCCACGCGTGTACGGGCCAGAAGCCATAGAAGCCCACGTTCATGCCACGTTCCAAGGAACGAGCTTGCAAGAGCCGGCAGCGCCAAAGTTGTGCGTACCGCTCTGCTCAAGCATCCAGATGCCCCGACCGTGCGAAAGGTTGGGGCAGAGTTGGTCCAATCCTTGGAACATGACTCCTGACACTGCGGCAGCCTCCATGAACATGCAAGCATATACTTCTTTTCAAATAGAGAGTGAGGCGTAGAAGCTTCGCCGCAGCCGAAACAAAGTCTGGCTTTCAATGTTCGGATGAGTCCCTGGACCCGTCTTTGCCTTGCACCGACGTGCTGTGCAGGAAAGGGAAAAAGCTGTGCTTCGCTTTGCCGACATTTTTGCGGTTGTCACCTTTAGCAACTTAGCAACTGCCGACAGACGGCAAAAGGTTTAGATAAGTGCAAGCCGCTAGCCATTTCTCTCCCGACCCGCAACACGTGCAAAGCTCCTGGTTGTGATGTTGGCCCTGTCTGAGCGTGCCCATTGCAACTCAGTAGCTCCTTGTGGATGGCAGGGTTTGGGCCGAGAGGATCCCTGCGCGTGCCGCACAGGCCGCCGAAGAACGTAGTTGGAGAAGATTTGGGCCGAGTCGGCTTTGGGTGGTTCTGCGAGTTTCAGGCGGTGCTTTATGTTGGGACATCTTGGCAAAGTCTTTGCATTTGTCCCCAAAATATAGAATCACCTTTAGAGCTTGGATCGAGATGGCGAGTCCTGCTCCGGCAGTGCACATGAAGACAGGTGTTTGGTGATGCAAGCACATGTCCACAAGCATGCATCGAATTCCCTTTTCAGATATTTTTCGATTGTGCAAGCGGAGGTGTGGTCGGCTGTGGGCCCTCTTCCGAGCTGCTGCTAATCCAGAGCTCGCTTGCAAGCATCTATTTCGCTATGAGTGTAGCGTCCAATGTCATGAGCGATCGGCTGTCCTGTGGTTGGCAGAAAGCCTGAGGTGAGGAAGGGTTGGCAGCTTCGGCTTGGCTGCCAGGCCAGAACCTCCAACAACAAATCCTGCTCGCGAGAATTGCCCGAGTTCGACAGACCCGTCATTCTTCCGAGTGCTCCCATTGGAAAGCGTGAATGCAGCCTTTCCGATACTGGCACAAATGTCGCTGGAAGCCGGCCGCGGAGGCGGAGAGATCACGGGTTTTCTGCAGCTTTCGACTGGGGCAGCTGTGGAGGTGGGGCTGGCTGATTGCCGAGGTTCAACAATGTTCAACATCTGCATTACCTTAAGCGCTAAGCTTGACAGCAGAAAGCCGACATCAATATGTCATAGCGTGAAGGCTGAGGAGGTAACGACGAGCAGAGACGTGCGGGAGCTGAATCCTCGCTTTTGCTGGCAGGTCATGCCGGAGATGCAGCGCATGCAGCCGCGACACAAGAAGCAGCAGTTCTCAGCTCTCACGGTTAGTTTTGTGGTGCCGTTTCTTGCTGGTGTAACTCGCGAGATCCGTGGATTTGTGGGTTGTTCTAGTAGCTTAGTAGATTCTAGAGTATACATGCGGTGGATTGTACTCGACAAACATTGTGTCCGTAGCACAGTTCTCAAGCAGACCTTCCTGTTGCTTCCGGGCTCGTACTCCAGAATCACCAGGCAACTCCGAATATGCTTCTGCCTCCTCCTACTTCGTCCATCTTCTGTCTAACGTCAAGAAGTAATTTGGTGCTACAGTCTTTGACAATGCTAGTTGGGTCATCAGAGGTGTCACTTTTGAGGATATCGTGCGATAGCCTTCTCCAAGATCTGGCATGATGATCCTGCCAGGCCCTGCTAGGTGCGTTACCTACTGGAGTACAGGATTCCGACAATCGTGAGCAAACTCCAAACAAAGAAACGCCCCAACCATCCATCACCCGAGATTCTACGTCTCGCTCGCGTTGCAGCCCCGGCTGCTGGATGGTCGGCACGGGGGTCAGTTGCGGGTGTACCCGAAGATGTGGTTTGAGAGGAATAGCCAAGTCTGGCACATGGCAGCTACGTCAAGGTTCTTATCAACACATGTATGAACATCTTAGAAACTTGAAGCAGGCAGAATGCCTTCAGCACTTAGCATCGTCAACGGGTCAACAGATGGAAGCATTCCTGTGAACGGGCATATACGCGGCTCAACGCGTTTACTTCAGGGCATTCGACGCATGTCTTGGAGGCTTCTGTCGCGTCGATTCTTTCTCGGGAAAGGGGTTTCAGATTTGGACTGACAGTGACGATTGAAATGTGGCCATTTCGCTCGAGAACTGCCAGTGCTGCGGAGCAGCCCGTGCAGCAATCCTGCCGCATGCTGGACTTCAGTGTATGCAGCTGTAGTGCACGCAAGAGGTCTAGTCAATTAGTGTGCTTTCAGCGTCGGGAAGGCCCACCTGCATCTTGAAGGCTAGCACTCATTCGTTCTGCCTCGTGACACAGTAGATACTTAGCCTCTGACACAGATCAGTGGCACGTGGATGGCACGAAGCTCCACCGCGAGTGACGCCGCCCTTCATCTGCCAGGGCTTTCAACCGCGAATGCGGCCTCTTGGCCTGAGTAGGGTGGTGGCGGTGGCCTTGTGCCCGGGTTTGAGCTTCGCAAGTTCTCAGCCAGCACTGTCACATGCCGGGCTGCTGCAACATGGCATCAGCATGGGCGTTTCCGTCTACTGCAAACATCCACCCAATGAATCTCTGCGTGATTGAACACTTGGCTCCGGGACGGCTCACGGCGATCTTACGAGAGCCCTCTGTCGTCGAACTGCTGCACAATACAGTAGGCGATACAGGTGCTGGCTGTTGCAGCCCCAGCTTCAATGCGCTTGCACCATCGGAACAGTTGTAGTTGCATGTGTATGAAAACTTGCACACATGTGGAAAGTAGTCATGGCAGTTCACATCTGTCGATAATGTGCTTCTCATCCTAACAGCCTCAAGACAGAAAACCCCCAAAAAAACCTGCACATTTGCAATTGCATGGGATGCCTTTGAGTTGCTTGCGGTCCAGCATCGAACTTGAGGAAATTGCTGTAGAGATCACACGAACGGCTGATTTTTGCGAATGACAAAAGGATGCTGTCAACACTGCGCAGAGGTCCCGTTGAAGTCACAGAGCACGAGCCCGTCGAAAAGCAAAGACCAGCGCAGCAAAGATCGGTCACAAAGCAAAGACCGGCCAGGCAGGGCTGCATCGAATCTCCAGCCGTTGAAATGTAAATTCGCAAGTTCAGGGCGCTGAACTCGAGGGTCTTATGATTGAGGGATGTCCGCTTGTGATTCGAGTTGAGATGCCCAATCCGGTCACAGTCCATGTATGTTGGACTTGGGAGCGGGTTGAAAGGTTCGGTTGCCATGGCTCGTTTGTCATTATGTAGGCTGTAAAGCAGCTGCAGAACCCACTCTCGTCTCAGGTTTTGCATTGCACTTTCGCGAGGCACTTCTCAGACGCAGACGAGCAGCGGTCCGAGCCGACACTCATCGTTGCGGTCTAGTGGGCTGCTGCACTGCACCGAAAGATTCGTCTTGGACCGCTGCAACTCCGAAATTGATTCGTCTGGCGAGAGAACCCTTGTAGACCTGGGTCAAAAACTATCGCTTGGGGACTCATTGCCTCAGGGCGTTTATACAGAGACGCTTCCGCAACTCATTGCAGCACCGCCTGAAGCCCTTCAGCTGCCAGTAGCCAACATGAGCTCGTCTAGGCTCGTCCACTAGAACTGACAGAAACACGCAGACCTCACTTGGCCTTTTCGAACCGTTGGAGACAAATAGCAATAACAGGAACATTCTATATCCAATGTTCAACAACCAAAAAGCGCACCAAACCCACAGGCAGAATGGAAGCGCGTTTCCTCAGTAATCTCCGCCTGTTGGTTGTTGCTCTGGCGAAAACCCTGTGGGAGGTAGTGGCGCAGTCCTTTTCATGTAAAATTCTGCAGTTTCTCCCGAGCCTGCACGATAGGTCAGATTGTCTCAGCTGGCGTGTCAGAGACTCGAAATCCATGTGATGAGTCGGCGGTGAATTGACTGGCTTGACCGGAAACCTTCCCGTCCGAGGCTTGATACAAGTCGGCGCAGTCTCTCGGCTTGGACGCTGATCGGTTGTAAGCAACAACGGGTTAGCTTCCCGCAGATTTGAGGTTGTGGCAGTTTCAGTATAAAACCGCCGAAGTTTGCAAAATGCCTGAGGCAATCGCAACGAACACAGCTTGCCGGAAACTGCTCAAGAACCGTCGCAGTGGCAATACGAGACGCCCAACAGTGGTGTTCTCATGTCGCAACGGCTTCAGCCTGCCTAGGGATCCATAACTTGCGCCTGTTGCGGGAGAAACCAACTTAGAAAGCCCTGCTGCCGTGTTGCTATTGCAGGTCCGCGGCTGAAGCTAACATGCCCAGACACTTGGCTGCTGTGAATGTTGGCTAGTGCGATCTATGAGCATTCGGTATTGCTTCCCGGATATGAGACAGGCCTGCCTGGGCAATAACGAGACTCACAAGTATAAAGTGTTTTCTGCACTTAGTCCTCCCTGGCAATCTCTCCGATTTGGGACCCTTTAATTGTGGCTTTCGGTTCACAGATTTTGGTTGACTTGATTGATGTCGCTGTCCCACTCGTTAGAGGCTCATCGCGCCGTCGGTTGTCTAACATGAGTGTTGCTGCAGTGTCTCCGTTTTGCATGTTTCGATCGTATTCTAACCAAATCGAGGGCCTGTGGTGAATTCCTGAAGTTGTACAACTTTGCAGATTATGCGGGTGCAGGATCAGTGAAAGCCAACTCCCGAGCCGTAAGTGTGTCTCTTGGCAGGTAAAGCTGCCCAGCCTTGCCACATCAGGGGGAAGAGACTTTTCGCCCTGTGACTGCAACTCCGGTTTGCGACTTTGCAATGTTGTGGCATTGAGTGGGAGCTTTTCGGTCAAGATCAGGGTCTCTGCTTTAACATCCCCGCGCTCTTGTTCTGAGACAGAAGCAGTGTTGCTGCACGCCTCGACAAGCCTGCAGCATCGGGGGTTTTGCAATTCTCGTGGACCTAGGAGGCTTGCAGATTCAAGAGTTGGATTAAGAAACCCGCTTTGTTGTTCGAGGGTCGCCGTCGGCAAAGCCCCTCGAAAGCTCGCGACACTGATCCGGCCTGTTTCCAGGCCCCGCCCGCCCCCAGTCAGCCGACAAGGCTCGCTCAAGGAGCGAGGATGCTTCAAGCTTTGCTGATAGCTGTGATGGCAAATGATTTCGCTGCAGTTTTCCAGCAACTGCTGATCTGAGCCGCCTTTGGCGTTGATCCCTGCTAGGAGTCTCAGTCCAGACAGACGTGGCTCAGCTGAAAGAGACAGCACAGCATCTTCAGGCATGGCCAAGCTAGAGCCGAAAGCTTTGCGGCTTTAGTGTTTAGGCCCAGTTTAGGCACTGTGGGTTTGGGCTCGAAGCATCTGCTAGTCACCTCATGCTTCGGTGACACGATCAATTTGACAAGGTGTGTTTGTTTGTGTTATGAGTTTGTTGCCTGGCTTCTCGGGCTTTGGGGTTCCTGGCTTCTCGACTGTTGGCGTTGTGCTGCTACCTTCGCCTAAAGGCCTAAGTCTGTTCAAAACGTGAGCAGGCCCACTGTCGTTGCCTAACTAGAGCGCCGGTTTGGAAAATGTGCGACATCTTCTGACAAGGTGACAAGGGTCCGGGTTCAAGACACGAGCTTGTGCTCAACCGGCCATCGCCTGATGAGACGGCTTTAACACATACGATCAATGGCTATTTTTAGCCTGACGAGGACACGGCTTAAGTAAGAGATTTGATCAACTGCCATCGCGTAATGATCCTATGAGAAGGCGGGTTTAAGAAATTGCAATCAACCGCATGTGGCAGGAGGAGAAGAGAAGCATTAGTACGGTGTGACCCTGATAGGATTTGAGGCGGCGTGAGCGTTTCGAAGGCACACCCCGAAATTATGCGCCCGAAATTATGCGCTCCATCATTTTGAAGGCACTGCCCTCAAAAGGCCATGCCAGTGTTGAAGGCAACGAGACTGAGGCTAGAAAGCCTGCGCGGCTGCAGGGCAACAGAGATCAGCAACACCCAAAAAAGAAGCTAAACAAACTCCTCAATTGATTGTCGAACCCCTCGGTAATCCGGTGCATTCTCGCGGGTGTCTTGAGATATTTTGAGTTGGTGTGGCGTTGCTATAAGCCTGCATGCGTCAAGCGCCATTGTTCGCAGAGCCGTTTATAGCAAGTCGCTGGTTCTGTCGATATACTGATACTGTAACAACCTGCAGCAAACTCACTTTTTCCAACAGCACATTGTATCAATCTCCGTTGTCTTTCACGGATCTACCCCGTGCAAAAGCAGGGCCTCAGTCTTGGCGAGGATAAGCGCAAGTGGCACAAAAATCATGCCTTACCCACACTGTTCTTGTTGATTCAGCTGCCACTGCCTTAAGAAGTCGTCTTGAGGACCTTGTACAACAGAATGTGTTTTCTCAAGCGGGTGCAATTCAATCCTCAGTCCTCGCTCTATCGAAGTTTGCGGGTAGAGGTATGAGTATAGACATAAATACGACTGTAAATGTGTGTGTGTCTCTCTCTCTCTCTCTATATATATATATACACTATAGGCATATTAAGCGCATGCATGCATGATACATGTGTATATAAGCATGCGATATATTGCAGGTACAGATACAAATTCATAAGTGATACAGGCAGATAGCACGCACACATACACGTAAGCCCATGGCTGCTTCTCTGAAACTTGGCACATGCTGACTGGCTGACTGACTTCTCACCCCCAAGATTGCAGCAACAAGCCTCTGAAGGTCAGTCTACCAGACTTCTACCAGGGTCAGAACTTAACTTAGGCTGCGACTTCAGGGTCTCCCATCTGAGGAGTGATCCTCCACCACCGAAACCGAGAGCGTGGTCCGCTCAGTCGGCACAACTGACACTTGCGATTCAGGCATTGAGGTGCAGGAAGCAGGAAAGATGTGGCGGCGCTTTCCGCGGAAAGTTGTGCTAATGGGGAGATCCAGGTCCAGGCACGAAAATCGGATTGTGCGAGATCAGCGCCATCCGAGCCACTGTTGGAGCTATAGGATGTAGCAGGGCGGAAGATGTCGTTTCAGGGAGCACGAAAGGCTCACAAGTTCGTGCAGACTGTGCTTCGTCCTTCGTCATTCTGAGAAACCTTCAACTTATTCCAGAGCACCAGAGCAGACCTTTTTGAGTGGTTTCGCCTCAACATCGCCTGCATCTTCCTTTGCTATTTCCACCTGGGACCTGGCGACCTCATCTGGCTTGTCCGAGTTGAGCGTAGACCTCTGCAGCCAAGGGCGACACTCGGCGCTGAGTCGTCGCCGGAACACAGCAACTCTTTACTCTCCACTGCCGCGCAGATGCACAAAGAGCCTCACGTTACATGAGTTGCTTTGACTTCGGATGCCGTTTGCGTTTGAGCATCCACGTGAGCCATGGAGGACCAAAGACCCTAAATCAAGGGAAGGGACGGCATCACATCGAAAGCCTGACTCATCATCGCCAGGGTCCGGAGCTACTTCTTGTGTCACTGGAGGAACAAGCCCAATCTGAACAGCCCCTCAAAGCTCTGCCGGAATTCGTGAAACGGTTGACCGCTCTTGAAGCAACAGTGTTCGCCTTTTGATTATACCTGACAAAAGATTGGCTGCAGTCTGGCAGAGAGTGCGCCAAAAAGGGGCTTCTGCCGTAGTTCGTCATGGAGGGTTCCCAGGAGCTGTAGCCGTTTGTCCAAGCATGCCTGTGCATGTCCGAGTGGTTTTCTTTTCTTGTCGGCTTTTGGTTGAGATCGTAAATCCCAGCCTCAGCCCTGCAGAGCACCGCGAGCATCATGAGCATGTCCCAGCTGGCCCAACTATGTGAGGAAAGTGGCGAGATGTCACCGGAGACATTTACTTGTGGAGTGCCAAGGCAACGGTGTATCAATGGGCGGGTAGTTCGGTGCAAGCGGCTTCCGAACCGATGTTTGCTTTCGTCTCGAGTTTGTTCACCGTAACCTAGGTCCTGGCTTGCGTGACCTTGGATAGGGTTGCCTTGGGAATGACCTTAATCACAGAGTGATTTCTGTGGTTAGTCACGTGCATCTATCCAGCCCGATCATGGGCAATGCGCCGTCGTAACCTGTCGCAGACAGGCCCACACTGGTTTTTGGAGTGAAGCACTTTTTCTCCACTCCCTTGCGCATCATGTTTCACGGGAGGCTCTCCGAGGCTGGAACGGCGCCCAGAGGCATCATCTTTTTGCCGGGAGTTTCTTTCCTGATTTCAAGTTCAGGGAGCCAGATTGCCGAAGCAGCTATATATTGGTAAGGAGCCGGACAAATGCATGCGAACACCACCGTGAGAACAGGGCAGCTACACTAGACATGTTGCCGGGATTCCTTGATTGTCGGGCACTCTCGCTTAAGAGCCATGAGCTGTTGCACATCATTCGTCGGATTTGGCTGAGCATTGAACGATGATGGGTAGTACTCCCTGCCTATTCTGGGCCCTGAAGTGCTGTACCCTTCTTGCTGGCCAGCGGACGCACAACTTCTGCTCTTGAAATTACCTTTCGGATCGTCTGGTTTGGGAGAAACTGCCAATGCAGAATCACATTCAACTGGCAATTACCGTCAGTTTTGTTGTTTGCCAGACTTGAGACTGGGCACTGGCACCATGCGCAGGCAGCACGGCCATCGCGGAGTCGGATGCTTCCAGTTGCGAGTCGGTCGACATGAGCCTGGAGTGTATTTCAGACTCTGACTTGCCGGAGCCCGAGACTTTTCAAGGTTTCCTGCCGATTCCTGCCTGGCTCGCATGTGCCGCTGGGTTGATGGGATGCGGGGTAGCTTTCCATGAAACCTTCCCTTTACACTTTGTGGCAGAGACGTTGGAAGCAGCAAAGACAGAGACCTCACGCTCAGCTGTGCTGTTGGCAGCGGGACCCTTGGCCCGACATGGATAATCGCCATGTTGCAATGCTGCCTCGCATAGTGGGACCATCAGGAAGCATTGGCAGACAGACAACGCCAGATTGAACCGTCATGTGGCCGATGCCCTGAGCAAAGCAAAGCCAAGAATGAGCCACCAACACTCGCTCCTGCATCTCCGAATCTTGCAAGTAAGGTTAGATGCTGACGGATCCCAAGGCTACCAAGGCATGAATCCAGAGCGGAGGTTTGCTTTCTAGATTCTAGATCACAGAAATGCTTCCGGCCTGAATTTGAGCTTGAGTTCTCCGAACCAGGGGGCATGTGCGAATTCCACTTCGGCTCTTGCGATGCAGTTCGATCCATAGTCAAGCGAGGAATGATCAGAAATGTTTGTGTGTGTGTGTGTTGAGATACAGCATGCATACTCGCAGAGACGATTTCCACAGCAATGGCAAATGGCTTTGCCCATTTCCATGCTCACACTCCGACCGCCGTTTTTGTTGTGTAGAGGGTCGAATCAGGGAGACGGCTGCCGCTCGGACCTCAACACCCTGGCATAGGTCCGCCGATGACGGCAGTCGCAACAGAGCCGATTCAGGCACGAGGAGTCGAGACGGGAGGGCGAGGCATGGCGAGGCGGCGTGAGCTTTGCGTGAGCTTGCCAAAGACTGATTGAAAGTCCTAGCACGTCGTTGCTGGGTGTCGAGAAGACACTGGTCCGAGGAGTCCGATATTTCAGCTTGGCTGCGGCCCATATCAATCAATGTTAAGGGCATTGCCAACTAACTGGGCCGCCTCGCAAGCAGCTGTTCTATTTTCTGCGTCCTTTCAGGTAACTCAAGTACAACATGCAGTGGAGGGGTACAGCAGCTACGTGCGGAGCTGAGATGAACATTCCAGCTGTAGCCCATTTGAGCTTCGTTCCAGGGGTTTGGGGGTGTGTGTAGGGGTGTAGAATCGGCAGTCAATGCGAAACTTCAGAGCTGTGGCTTTCTGCACTCGGATCCATTATGGTCCAAGTATACTTTTCTCTCCTTGTCTCTCTCCTTGGCTGCTTGAAACATCGAACGAGAGGAGTACTTGAGCTTGGTTTCAGGGGTTCAGGTGGTTCATTGCGGATGCCCTTGTGTACACGAGGGCCTTGCATCGTCAACCATTGTGTTTTTCTCTGGCCCTGGTGACTGCTGTATACACCTGAATGCAAAAGTTTGTTGTTGTACTGGCCACGGTTCTCTAGCCATCCCCAGCCTAGCCTCAAGTCAGCCCGAAGGCAAAACTTTGTCGAGTGAGCCCTGCAGTGGTAAACTTGCGGCAGATTCGCAGATTCAGTGGACCATTGCAGCACTGCACCTGTCACGCCAAGTCCAAAGCTGCGCCCAGCGCGCCTCCTTCGCAGGGGAGCCTGTGTTTGCCCAAAGCAGCCTGGCTGGAAGATGCTGAGCCCGAAACATCGTGCATGCCAATTGGGGCCAACGTCCTGGGTCTCCTGTGTTCCAACCCAGTAGAAAGGTCTCACTGGATGCCTAGAATGGCCTAGAATCGCCTAGAACGAACGGCATGCTCCCTTCCTTTTGACTTGAGAGCCGGGAATCCGGATGTGGATAACCCAGAGCTGTGGGTCGCAATCAGTCCACAAGCACCTGTGTGTCAAATCGATGTCCTCAGTGCTAAATTCAAGCAACAGCAGCTCACACGACTTGCCACAACGAGTTGAAGACTCCGCGGGAGGATGCATGCCACTGCAGACTCCAGATAGCAAGCCGGCTGAGCCTGCTACCGAGGCTAGCATGGACTTGAGTCATCAGCGATCTCGAACTTGGGGAAGCATCCCCCCTCCAAGCGCAACTCGCCTCCACTAGTACTGCTCATGTCATTGCTGGCTCCTGACCGGTACGTCGGGCATTAGTCCGATGATGTGTTCTAAGAGTGCCCGGGGCGAGACGATGACCCGGAAGTCAGCCAACTTGGGTGTTAACTCAAGACAAGTCTCGAAGCCTGTCTGGTTTGCCAAACTTGAGCTCCCCGCACCACGCAAAGCAGTCTGACGCTCCCAGGCCGGTCGCTTGACGGTGCCTTCCAAGGAATCTCCGCTTAAGCGGAGATCAATGCGACGTCTCCAGACCATGCCAGCAGGCCGGGACCGGATTGGTCGGGCGGTGATGGGCTCTCTGACTGGGCGTTCTGGAATACTTGGCTCTTCGAGTGTTGTGAGAAACAAGCTCTTGCCTGGCAGCACAGGCACAAGAGTATCGAATTGTCGGGGTACCAAGGCGGCAGGCTTCGAGTGCTGAAAATCTACAAATAGGTTTGATGTCTGTTCAGGTTGATGCTTCTACAATCTAGCAGCTTGCGAGGGCAGACTGACTGGGTGCGCTGGGTTCCAGGCACTGCGAATGACGACGACGTTTGCAATGAATTCGTGGCGCCCGCCATTGAGAGCAGGCAGGGGCAACATGGGGCGACGACATGTTGGCAAGGTGCGCGGGATTTCCTGGAGGGATGTTGTCTGTTGAATGAAGCTGTTGGCCCGACCTTGGGCAAAAAGATGGGGTTAGGCATGACCCGCAAAAATGTAAGCTGTTCCTTTGTGCGCTGGCTTCTTGAGGCCAATAGAGCATTTGGAAGACCGCAAGATCTACGACGTTTATTACTGGGAGGAGGCTCGAACGCATCCTCTCTTTGCACGCAAGTAAGCCTTCCTTCTGATTGCGCTGTAGCAACCCCAAGAGTTGCACCGCCTTTGCACCCAGACCGAAGTTCCACCCGTGCATTCTTTAGGCAAGCGCGTGGAATAATTAGCTTGAAACCAGAACCTGGCTTTCTAACAACCACAAGTACATGAAGCGAAGATCGAGGTTTACAGGCGCAGAAGGTGCTTTGCCAATAGCCGAGAAGCCCCTGCAGGTCATTCAAGAAGATGGCGATGGCGGGAAAGTTGTTTACTGCAGGAAGAAAGATGATGAGGCCCTGGAGGGATTGCTTTATGTTACATAGTGTTACATAGTGTCCGAGACGGTTCTTCAAGCGTTCTGCAAAGTATTCCGTCCTAAGCCGACAGGCTTCTCGAGTATGCTAAGGCGTTCTCTGCAACCCTCGGCCGTCCTTATCTGACGAGCAAGCGTACTCAACGGCACGGTCACACTCACGAGTAACAGACGAAAGCACCAAGGCTGAACGCTACAGAGAGCAACGGCGCTAGAGAAACACATGCAAACGCCCTTTCAACCCACCTCATGCACGCGAACACACACGCACGCACGTATGCACCCACCTACGCAACCTGTACATCTGTCCGCAGCCTCCGATCGTGAATCTTGTATCTGAAAAGAGCCAGGCTCCATGTGCATTTGAACACGAATCAGTCTTTGGCTTACAGTACAGCACCAACAACAGTTCAGGGTGTTTCGGGCTCGCCTGAGTGATCAGCTCAGGCTCCCTCCTTGGTAACCAGGTTCGTTGGACAGGGTCAGTACCAAGGAGCCCTGCCCCTTCCTTTTCTGACGTTGGCATCGACGGTATTGAAACATGACTTTCCCTTAGTAAGTGGTTTGGACGCGCACACACACACAGACTCAGGTGCATGTGTGTGTATATATATATATATGTTTATATCTGCATGTACTTCTCCATGTATAGATAAAGATACAGAAATGGATATAGATGTACGATGATGTACGCCTACCAGAACATCTACGAATTTATCTATATATATATATATATGTGTGTGTGTATGTGTATGTCTATGTGTACGTGTTTGTGGGTATGTATGTATGTATGTATGTACGTACGTACGTATGTATGTATGTATGTAGGTAGGTAGGTATGTATGTATGTATGTATCTATGTATGTATCTATGTGTCTATGTCTGTATTATCGCAACGAAAACAACCAGAAGAGGTCATGGCTGCGGGCGTTCAATTCAGCACTCTCTTGCACGCCTTACAAGGAGGTTGAGCCCCTACTTAGCATGTTCATGATGCGCAGTCTCTGCTTCACAACGTTGTTACGCTTTGCTGCGCATGAGCGTTGCAGCTTGTTCGTGCTCTGTAGCGACAAGGGTCCTACTCTCGGTCTCGGTGATATCTCCGATTCTACTGCTGTTCTTTCTAGCGTTTGATAGGACGTGGATTGTATGTGAGCACTAGATCACTAAAAGCTGAGTCCTGCTTGGAGTAGGGCTGAGTATGGGCTTGAGAATATTGCTGCAAATTTTGTTTTAGAAACACAGGCATTCGTACTGTTCCGACTATGTTGGAGTGATTTTTGTTCGCACAAGTCTCACAACCATACAAGCCGGCGCTCCCAACCCTGCCAATGCTCAGTAGTTCTTGGTGCCTGTGATGTTGTACAAATGGCAAGCAAAGTCATGTATTGCCGCGTTGCGTGGTGAAGGGCCGCATGAAAGCGGGCCACCAGAGCGATCGATTCGAGACCGGAAACCTGGGGTTAGGCCTAGAGTGCATCCTTACGGCTTGTGGTTAACGGTTATGGTGCAATTCTTTGCTCGGCTGTCGAACAGGTTGGAAGCGAATTCAACAAGGTCATGAAGATTAAGTCCAAATTGAAGCTCCAGCGTCCTGGACGCACTCGGATGGGAAGGCTTGGCGATTTGCATAAGGCCTCAAGTCGCAGCTGGGATTCTTTTGTTTTCGATTCGGCCAGCGGGTCTGCTCCAAGACTTGTCAGGTCAGGCCGTGCTGCGAATTTTTTGTACCACAGGTTTAGTTTCCATCCATCTCCCCAATTAAGGAAAGAAGGCTTCGCCACCCAATATCGACAAGAGCCTTGGCAGAATGTTGATCCTGCTGTTCCAACTTTTCAGAATTCTTTGCTATTCAGGACCAGGATGTTGGCCCAGATCCTTCACAGCAGAGGGCTGGTGTTGTCCAAGATTCGACCTCCCTCATTCTCCTGAGCAGACTCAGGTCCTCAGGTTTATAGCATGCCCAAAGAAACCAGGAGCGACAGCTGCTAAGCGAAGACCCACAGCAGCTTTCTGACTTTGCTCAGGTTATTTTGAAAATGTTGTCGCTGCCGCCGCATCCAGGAGTAATGCCAATCGAAGAGGCCCGAAATAGCGCTCAAAGAGGAAATTTGGGAGTTATGTGTCACTCCACTCTTGAGCTGCAGTTCACGCTTTGTTTGAAGTGGCGGCCTCAACTGCCTGGGCTGAGCGGACGAGCTTATCCTAATTCGCGAGGGATGGGTTAGTGGGTCCTGTTACGAGAGAGGAGGACCACCAATGCCGATAGTGTTGTAATGCGGCTTCAGGTCAACACAACCCGGTTTGTCGACATGTCTCGAATTGCAATGAGTTGCATGGATTTCCATCTTTCCGCTTCTTGGAGTGACTGGCCAGAGTGACAGCGCAGAACCACCTGTGCCCACAGCCACAGTTCCAAATCATCTGGCCATGAGAGGCATTGGAAGACGACGCGTTTTACTACGCTCCACGCTCAGATGGGGTGTGAAAACTTCTTTGAAGGATGCTTTCCTGTGGAACGGGCCCGCATTCCTCCAATCGAAGCTGATTTGCATACATGCTTGACTTGGAGCCTTCATGCAGACAGTCCTGTAGCAGTTGCCGTTCCGTCCTGTGTCCGAAGCTGCTTACTACGGAGCGCGAGCTGCAAGGTGTTTCGGTACGCAGGATTCCGTGAGATTGCATTGAGTATTGAGATACCCTGCCGTAGCCTGCCCGCCGTATGTCAATGTGAACTTGAGATAACTCCGAAAGAAGATGCCTTGGGACCAGAAACTCCGAGACTACGTCGACTACGTAGGCCTGAGACCAGTGCCGAGGAGAGTCGAAAGCAATCGAAAGCAGCTCCAGGTCGTCTCCCCTCGGGCGACAAGCAGCTTTTTTGCTGGCCTGCTCGTGGAGTTTCAGGACCTCGAGATTGTTTGCTGACCAGTTTGCTCGCCCTATCAGAACCAGTTTCATCTTTCCGGCCTTCGCACGTCTCACCACATCAATAGCACTGGGCACTGCACTTCAAGCAGTTCCTCGAGCATGTTTGGACCATATGGGGAAGTGCACAGCGCCGCGGCACTGCGCCTTCTCCCGAGCGCACTTAGGTCGCATGACACTGCAAAACAGTACTCTGTAGTAGCCGTGAGTAGCCACCATAGTCACTGTGCCGGGAATTTAGAACATTCATTTTTAGGAAAAATCTTGAAATCTTGCCCCACTTTGGGGGGGGAACAGGTGTGGCAAGATTGCAGATCTTTTGGCAATCTTGCTCAAATAGAGGGGCGAATGCCTGGCACACTGCACTATAAAACATGAACACCAGCTACACCCGACTACCTGGAGTTCATATCCGTGCTTCTCCGATTACGCTTTAAAATACAAGAGCCTGCACCCAACGAGCTCTACAGCTTTTGCCAGTCCCGAAGATGTAGCCATTTTCACCGCGCGAGCTCTGTGACACAGGACGGCGTTGTTCCAGAAGCGGCTTTGAGGACCAGTGGATTGTTGCTATGATTTTTGACTGGAAGAGACATCCGGCTCAATGCTGAGACACCAGTAATGTATCTTCATCATGGCAAGGGGCACAAGCATGAATCCTACATTGCATTTTATGCGGATGCGATCACGGTTGTTCGATGCAGGGGGGAAGACGTATCTCACAGCAGATACAAAGTGTGGTAGCTGGTAGCTACGACCTTTCCAAAACAGCTTCCACTGTGTGGTGCCTTGGTTCCTGCAAAGCGGACCTGCGGCAGGACGGATCGACTCGTATTCTTGTCGAGTGTGCAATTGGCAGGAGTCTTTTAAAGGACATCTTGGAAGCTCTCGACCATCTCCATAGCCACCGAGTGCTGCTCGGCTCCGTCTGTGCCGTGCTCGTTGTCTCCTGCGAAAGCTCACCTCCCACTTAACCTCCCTGGACAGTGTCTACTGCAGATTATCCTTGAACACGTGGATAGTGCGCTTGACTGTGGTACCTGTAGCGGGAGTGGAGTAGTGAATTCCATCTCAGCTGGGACAAGACCTTTTGTTGGTGGTCGGAGTCGGAGTGGAGCTCGAAACTGAAAGCTTGATCCTGCCGACACGCGAGGCTGCACCGAGACATTAAGCCAGACAACATGGTCTTGCAGGCCTTTCAGGGCATTTGTTGAACAATCAGTGTTTCGCATTGGCTTTGGCACTGCAGGGGAAGTGTAGGAGCGGAGATTTCCAATTATTTTCGACTACTTCTCAGCTGCAGTACTTGACTTTACCTTTTGCGATATCCGATGGACTATTCGTGGGGACTGCTGAGATCCGATGCGGCGTTAAGGCAGTTGTTAACCACAAGATGCAGACGATTTCAGCTGACGACACATTGAAAATAATGCGCGATGCACCTGACGGATGCATTGCACGGAAGAGGCTCAGAGAAGAAGGCCTTGGGTGTATGCTTTTTGGGTGGCATTTAGGGTGCAGGATGACAGGATGCTTCTGACTCATGGATTGGCCATAAAAGCCATCAGCCTTGTGTCCTTTGATCTAAGATGGAGTTGGTGAATCTTCAGGTGCGACAGCAGGAAATGGAGACCCTATGGCCCTCACTTTGGCACTTAGTCAGAGTCGTATTGCCGCAGGCCTTACTCCAGCGGTGAGCAACCTGTCCAGTTTGTGAAGGTTAAGCTGGTTCTCGTTGCCTTAATTTGCCGTTCCCGTGCCTGACTAAAGCAGCCGGAGGCCTACACTGACGAAGCAACAGGTGAGACGAAGAGGACAGCAAGGGCTGGAGATGGATGACGAAATGGCTTGAATAAACGGTTTGCTACTTTCAGCTGCGCGGATGGACTGCAACCGTACTCAGGTTCGGCATTGTCTCCCGACCCGACCCCAGCTTCGCAGACACTGGCCCCAAACGTGCCTGAATTAAGGCATGCTCAGCAAGATTGGACATTCATGTGATCGTACTGATAGCAAATCGTACAAAGATTCAAGGGGTTCTGACCCCGAGCCGAGCCAGAAGTTTAATATATATATATATATATCAAGAAAGACTGCAGCAATCGCGACCGTCGTGGCAGCAAGGAGAGTGGTGCTCATCGACTTCGACCACGCAGATCCAGATTTTACGTACTCGAACGATGAGGCCCGGAAGCAGTGCATGCTTCAAGGAACAGATTTTGACAAGAGTTCGCAGCACCTTCGCAGGAAGCTCAAGGACCGATTGAACGCACCCCCCGAAATCGCACAATGGCATGCACGGCTTCAGACGCACCGGGAACCTGACGGCCTAGACGGCGATTCATGCTCTTTGTGGTCCTACCCTATCGCTTAAGAATTCCTGGTGGCTTGTTGTCTAGTCGAAAGGTCATAAAATCACTACCTTGCCACCCAGGTTTACTTCCATACGATGATGCATAAGTGTGTCAATCACTGTTGAAAGTCGCCCCGCCGTGGCATGGTGCGCCAGGAACGAATCTACGGAACTCGACGCTTCAATGCACCGGTGGCTCGTCAGAGAGTTGGTGCCGTATCAGGCCTTCTGTGCTGCTACGCCCGCTGCATACTTCACACCACCAGAGGTGAGGCGCCGTGTGCTTTGCGGCATTGGCGGAAAAAAAAGCGTTTCTAGGAATGTGCTGAGGCGCGCCGAAAACACACCGCGATAAGAAAGCCAGTTTCAAAAGTGCTAAACGATCGAAACAGTGCACCTTTTTTCAGTGATCTTATTCAGTCTTATTGTTCGTTCAAACGAGTGTGTTTAGACTCAGTTCTGGAAAAGTTGTGTTTGATTCAGCCAGCAGGGTCAGACGAAGCATTAGCGGCTGCAGCAACCACACCGCAGCAGAAAACAAGTAGTTTATTTGGAAACAACATCGGGGATATCATGAACATGGCACCAGCAGGAGCAGCAGCAGCCGCAGCACAAGCATCATCTTGAAGGCATAGTTAGTTGGATGCGCTGCAGTCACTCAGTTGCCACGGCAAAGTCTGCCGAGCTCTTCGAACGATGGCTGCTGCACCTTCCTTTTTTGCCCAATGTCTTGCTAAATAGAAGGAGAAGCAGAAGAAGCATATGTGGAGTTGCTCCTCCGCATCAGTCAGAGAAAAATCGGAGAAAGCCGATGAATGTAGGAGAGCTTTGAACCTGTAGTGAGCGCGAGTTCCCGCTACTCCTGAGTTCTGCAGTTTGCTGCTCCAACAATGTCGGATTCCACATGGGCAGGCTGCAGCCTGTTTGGACTTACCGATCTGCTTTTCAGCTAAGGAATCGTACCTATGCTGCTTTTCGAAGCAGACAGACCTCTACAGTGTAGGCAGGAAGTCTGTTCCCGCGACTTGCATTGAGGGCGTTTGGAATGAAGCCAACATTCTGGCGATGTTTGGCATTGGCAGTAGTCGTTACCGAGATTGCAGCGATTTTTTCGCGGTCGTTGGCATGCAAGTGCCAGTTGAAGCGAAGTCAGCCCCGCATCATCAGTTGATAAGACTGTCTCTGTTACTGTTACTGCCTTAACCCCAAGCTTCAGGTGGCAGGTCACGTGTTTGAAAGCTTGGTTCGACGATTCGAGGGAGAGCGGATGACAACGCGATGGCGGCTTAAAGATTTCGGGTTTCGTGCAAGCACAATACGAGTTTCCAAGTGCAAGATGAATACTGTGCGAACAGGAGCGGCAAGACTTCCAGACTAATGAACACGATTCTGGTTTCTCAAGAAGCGAAGGAGCTCCGGTAGCGGTAGCATGCTTGAAGTCGGACACGGCATGCCCTGCGAGGTGCTGTCTTCTACATGATGATGACCGGAAAGACGCGTGATTGAAGCTGATGGTCTGCCATGGCGACAGCTAGAGTTTGATCCGGAATGCAACTAACAGAAGCGCGCGAGCCGTGTTCTCCGACCATTCCCGGTCCTCGCGCACCTGACTATGAGTATAATTGATACATCATTCAATGTTGGTACGGCAGCATGATCACACGCTCCAGTGAAGGTGGTAAGTCTAACCAGACAGTTCTGTAAGTTGGGCATGCAGGGCCTGGAATGCAGGCGGGCTCACGTTTTGCATGATGCAAAGACAGAGTCAGAGAGTTAAGGCTCTCAGTTGGGTCGCGGGAACTTGTTGTGAAGTTGATGGTGCGGTTCTTCCATCAGTACCTGGGCCCTGGGCGCTCGGAGTGTCATGCCAACCCAAAACACTCCAGAAGTCGCTACTGGTACATGGCAGATTTCGCTCTCCGTGGAATTCGAAGATCTTGTGCTCCTAGGATGCCATACGACGATGAGATCTTCGAAGGCATTGGAAAGCCCGTTGCCCCGCCAGGATCCAGGACACCAATTGCCATCGTTTGGACTTGGAACAGGATTGAGTGCTTGGCGTTGACTTCGATGGTGTCGATCGTGTCGGTGTGTCATGTTTCTGCACAGGAACTAAGGATCATGTCCCGGAGTGCGTCTGACACACGGTGCCTTCGAGAGCAAGAATGATTAAACTGCTTGCATGGCTCAGCCGTCCCTCGCCGAAAGCGGCAAACCATGGAGGAGGATCCAACTATGCTTCTGACAGCTTAAGTCTGCTTAGTTGGCCTTGGCCAAGAAAGCTGGGAAGCCTCCGAACTAGGCCCAATTTCATTTCACGAAAATGCTGCTGCAAAGGTTCTCATAGTCTACATGATTTCCAAGCGACCAGGATACCAAGTCCTCGGATCGCCTGGCAAGAGACATTTCAGAGTGCCGGGCTCAGCTCGTACACAAACGGCGAGGGCGTCACTGATGTCAGATCTGCTCTTGCATTCTTCGGTCTAGTGATTCCGGGCATCGGTTCGTCCAGGCCTCGGGTTCGGTACGGTGGTACGGGCAGGATTTCGCACGATCGCTGCATGACAGCCAGCGCAAAATGAATACCTCTGAATTTACACCACAAGTAGCCGCCACTTGTGCTTACATGGTTCCGACAGCACTGTTTGATTGCTGTTGAATGCCTTGCCACGCGGACTCAGCCTTGTCGTCACCCGTTGGATTCGGTTGAGGCTTGGAGACCTGGGTCTTAAGAGGGATGCGGCTTCAGGCCTGTCGGGACACTCCAAGCTTTGCCCGAGCACCTAAGGACTCAAGCAGGCAGAAGTGGATTGGGAATGCGACCCCTGGCCGTCGCAACCAGGAGAGAATGAAGCTGTTGCTGGCCGTGATGTGTGAAGACACAGGATTAAGCGCTCTGAGTTCATGGCTTTTGGCAAAGAGGGCTCCGGGTGTAAATGAAGGCCTCGGCTCCAAGGGTGAGAAGGACAAGGATGAGCTCAAGAAGGGTTCGGACGGTGAAGTGCGATAAAGCTGCCAAGCTATTCCCTCTCCTTTCCAGCTGAAGCTTACGGTCTAAACTTACGGAGGCCTGTTTAAAGTATTTTAGTGAAGGCCTTGCGCTCCCACTCCTCCACAAAGCAATCACCAAGGCAGCCAGTCAGCAAAGACCTATGCAAGCAGCTCCTGTCCTTCTCGCCGGCGATGCGGCCGAGGGATGCCAGAGCAGTCTCTCAGCACGCACTGCAGAACCTCTTCAGCAGCCCTCCTCAAACCCCCCTAAACAAATGCCACAGAAAGGATGAATGAAACGTGGGCAGAAGTAGTCTCACAGGAAATTCAGAAGCACCCTGTGGCGGCTGTGTTACGTGTGCTGGTTGCGAGCAGTTGTCCAGCATGTCTCTGTTGCATATTCCTCGTTACACAGGATCTCTTCCGATCTTGGGACTCATGAGGGTCTAAGCCCTTGGCTCCGCTTACAGCCCGAAGATTCCGACAAATCTCCCGGCACTTGCACGACTCGTGCCAAGGAAGCCCGTAGCCCTACCGATGACTTTAGCAGCGGCCGAAGTCCTGAAGCAACACATCACAAGCCGACATTTTAGCACAGCACCGATCGCAAGCCCTGTCAGGCATTGGCGCATCCGTGGTTTTCAGAGTGCTAAGCACCACGAAGCTGCACTAGAATTGCTGCGCGCCTGAAGCGGTGACTTGCGTCCAACAGCTCCGAGCTTGTCCAGTCAGCATCCACCCAGAAATGCAAGCTTCGCTCTACATGCTCTACGAAGTCCACCGGCCTGACCATGTTCCTAATTTAAAGACCCATCGCCAAGATGCTCACACGCACGCCGCCGCTGTTTTGCCAGTTTCGGGGCCTTCTCGATGAGGGACCCGCCGAGATTCCACGTCAGCACGGCGCCGCCGATGCGTAATGTCGACTTAGCGGTCTTTGAGGCTTGAGGGCTCAAGTGCACAGATCAAGGCTCAAGGACAGAGAGAGAGAGAGAGAGA